AGGTTTCTGTTGTATCTAGCTTAAGTGAAAGTGGTCCTGTTTCTGAATTGGTCACAGTCACAGAGGTTCCATCAGGTGTTGGAAATGCTAATGTGCACAAGAATATAGCAAATGTGGTTGATGGAACTGAATTAGAGTTAATGGGAGTGGGGTTTGAGCAGAAGTTAGTGGATGGATATGATAACATTGATTCAGAGGTTAAGAGTGAGGAGAGGGTAGTGGATGGATATGATAACTTTGATTCAGAGGGAGTTAAGAGTGATGAGAAGTTAGCAAATGTGGATTATAATAATGGTTTGGAGGGTGTTGATACTGAGCAGAAGCTAGTGGACGGGCAGGGGACAGTTGAGAGTGAGAATAAGCTTGCAAATGTGGATGATTATAATGATCTTGAGGGAGTTGAGATCGAGAACAAGTTTGGAGATGTGGATGATACTATTGATTTAGAGGCACTTGGCCTGGAGAACGAGGATGTTTCACTTGATGGTTTGATGGAAGGAGGGACTTTGAAACATGAAACTCAAGAATCGGGTGCTGAATTTAATGAGTCTCTTGATAATGGGGTTGAGAAAATTGGTGTGGCTGATGCTGTGGAAGATATTGACACGTCAAAGGTGCACGTAAATGATTCTCCTACAAAGATAGAAGTTTCTGGAGATGGTATTTCTCTGACAGTGGATGTATTTGGTCCAGATTCCACGTTTTACATGGAAACTGACAACCCTATGGGTGTCAATGGGAATGAAGCAGAAGGTAATGTCAGTGATAATCAAGAACACAATTTTGCTGTGGGTGACTTGGTATGGGTAAAAATGAAGACTGACTTGTGGTGGCCGGGAATGATTTGTGATCCGCACACAACAAAAGATGATGGGAAGTGTAATCATAAGGATGGTTTCTTTGTTAAGCATTTTGGTAACACTAGTTCTGTTTGGTGCCGGCCATTCCAGTTAAAGCCCTTTATAGAGTATTTTGAGCTGATGTCTCGCCAGAATAAGTCTAGAAGCTTTTATGCTGCAATAGAGAAGGCTTTGGGCGAGTTTGGTAGGCGCGTGAAACAGGAGATGACCTGTTCTTGTTTTTCAAAAGAAAATCAAGTTGCTGCTCAAAATTTTCCTTCAAAGGAAGATGAGAATGGGGGTAGTGTTTTTTCGGCATCTCAATTTGAGCCTTCAAACTTACTTGAATTCATCAAATCACGTGCTTTGGGTCTTCGTAGCCCAGGTAATGTTGAGTTCACAGTTGCTGAGAATTGCCTATCGGCCTTTTACACTTCAATAGGCCATAAGCAATTGCCTTTGTACAAACTCAGGCCAACAAATAATCTGATATCAGTAAGCAAGGATGAAGATCTGGACAAGCTGTCTAGTGGTGATAGTGTCCTTAAGAGCTGTAGAAGTGGTTCTGATGATATTAAAATGACTGAGATGGAGCTGTCTGGCTCATTGGAGTCTCCTAGAGGAATGAGGAGCATGATATCCCGTTCACAGATTGCGAATGAACATGCCGGAGGAAAATCTGAAAAAGGTTTTGAGTCGCGAGAACGGAAGAAGAGCAAGTACCTGTCATATCCTTATGTAAACAGTTGGGCCTCCCGTAAGAATTCACTTGGCCAGGGAGAAGATGAAACTGAAGATTGTGAGGAAGTTACTCCTGGTGGAGTGAAGAGCTCCTCCAATCCATCTATGGTCTCCACTCCAATTGGTAACAGCAGTAACAAGACCTCACTAAGGAAATCGAGGAAATCTGTTAGTGACAATGATATTTGCAATAATGCAGATTTCGGTGCTGCCTCTGCGGCAGAAATGCTCCAAGAACTCCATCAGACAGCTCTTGATTGCTTCTTTCCTATTCAAAGCACGTGTTCCGTTCCAATCCGGGATTTTTACTTGAGTTTTAGAGCATTCAGAGGTCCTGAAGTTCAGATGGATGAATACAAGGAAGCTACTTTAGGGTGTCAGGAAACTTTTCAGTCTGATAATATTTTGGCCTCTGGAGGATATGATCTGCAAGTAGAAGGACAGCCTCCTCCGAATGTTCTCCCCAAGAAGAGAGGTAGAAAGAAAAGTGATGGAATAAATGCAACTGGTCCCAAGTTTAGCTCTAAAACCAACTTACCCAGGATGACTGCAGATGGTACCAGTATGAATGGCTCTCCCCTTAATGATTCTGTACAGACAGGACCTGATACATTCAAAAAAGGAGTAGTTCACAGACAGAGAAAGAAGGCGGCAATTGCAGCTGTGGTTCATAATGAGATTGGGGTATTAGGTGGACTACCAGACTTGAATGTAAACAACGCGGGCTTGTCAGTTGAAAATATGCAGGTTATAGGTCCTGCTCCTACTCAAGGTAAACTTGAACCTAAGAGGAGGAGGAGGAAGAAGGAAGAGTTGGGTTCTGAGAATCTGCCAGATGTGAGCAAAGGCAACACCCAGTTCATTCCAATGCTGAAAAGTGTGGAAGTCACCGGCTCGTTACCCTTGGAAGGTGGTCCTCAACCAGATAACATGTTTGGGGTACAGGGGGCGTCTTCCCTCCCGAATGCTGAACTTTTAGCCAATGAAATTCATGCTGCAGGTAGCTCATTACCAAATATTTCACAGATCACCGGTCTGGTTTCGTCTGCAAAAGCAGAAGGCAAGAAAAGGAAAAGGAAAGAGAAAGCATTAAACATTCAGAATAATTCTTCAGCCCTACCAGATTTGAATGGACAGGTCACCGATCCGAATTTGAAGGGAAAGGAGGTGACAGAAATGAGTTGTGTCTCAGGTCAAGCTAAACCCAAGCAAAAAAGGAGAAGAGCTACTAAATCTGCTGCCATTGGGATACCTAATCCTAATGGAGATCACAACACTCTTCTGCTATACTTTACACCGGGTTCACCAGTGCCTTCTAAAGAATATATCACTGCTACTTTTGCCAGTTTTGGTCCGTTAGAGGAATCCAAAACTTTGTACTTGAATGATTCTACTGCCCAGGTTGTCTTTGAAAAGGAAAGTGATGCTATGGAAGCCTTGCAGAGTTTACAAAGCAGAAACCCGTTTGGACCTTCCCTTGTCAGTTATCGTCTCCGTCATGTTTCAACTTCTAACAACACACAGACGTCACATCCTTCTCTGCCCGCGGATGCACTTCAGTCCCCTGCTGTACTTTCTGGAGCAGTACCTTCAAATGGTGAGGGACCTGATCTGGTCGTCATAAAACAGAATCTGGAGTCAATGACAACAATGCTTGAGAAGGCTGGTGATAATATTTCCCCCGAGATGAAAGCCAAGTTGGAAAGCGAGGTGAAAGGCTTCTTGGAAAAGGTAAGCAACATGGTTGGTTCTTCTTCGTCGTAGTTGATAATAAAAAATGTTGTAGTTTCTTAGTTGTCATTGAAACTGTGAATCTAATTAATTAGGATATTTATGCGAGGCTAGTGTTGAGAACCCCGTGTTTTATCTCGCCTCACTAGCTGTTTAATTTCAGTAGAATTGCTGGATCTGTTCTCTCCTGGGTGTTGCCTTCTTTATTGAATGGATGTTGGACAACCTCAATGCCTAATTTTCTTTCTGTCTGTATGAATTATCAACTTCATCTTAAGTCAAAAGATGGGAGTCGAATCGTCAATATCCGTTTTACTAGTATTTCCTGCGACTCTTTTAACGCAAAGTATACTTCGAAAATTGCTCGACGATAGTGATTACTATAGGTTTTGTTTTCGAAAAATAACTGTCATAAGAGTTTTAAATTTGGGATTAGACATAGGAGCAAATCTAAACTATAGTCGGGGAGCGCTTTGTTGCTAAGGATTTCTTTGTTAGGAAGCGTTTTACCCTCAATATCTAATAGAGAGTGTTTTACTCTCAATGTGGACTTTTCAAACTAAATTCAGATTTAGTCGGACTTCAATGTGGTTACCGAATATTGGGTGGGAAATAAATAAATAATCTAAATTATAGTGAAATTGAACCTGGGTGGAGATAAAAAATAATACTGTGTGATCTTTCAAGTGTCCTAATTTTGATGGTCAGAGTTATTTGGTACTAATTGTTTGTGACAGGTATTTCGTAGAATTGGTAGACACTAGGTGATTCTTTCCATCCATTCTAATTTTGACGGATAAAGTTATTTTATACCTAGTGTTGGTGGGAGATGATAAACATCCAATAAAATTAATTGAGGTTTCGAGACACTCCAATTTCAAAAAAATAAATAAATTATAATGAAACTATGCGAGAGATTTATCATCTCTCCTAAAATTATTTTTCCCGTATTATATATAATATTCCCGCACTTGAATATTTTAGATGACGCTTTTCTGAAATTTCACCTACAAAACTAATAATGTCACCAAAATTTTACCGTGAAGTTAAAGACGTTATTGACTCTTTATAATTACGTAATGAACTGAAAAGTGATAATTTTCTCTCTTTTACTGTCATAAAATTATTAGTCCAAACTCCAAAGTTCCAAATCCAGACCAATAATTGATTCACCAAACAAAATGACGTCGACAAATAAAAATAAATATGATGCTAAAATAATTGCTACTACATTCTCCCCTATCATATCCAAGTACTAAGCACATTTTTTTGAACATAAAAAATAATATACTCTTTCTTTCTGTTGTTCTAATTTATGTGACATATTTTTTCTTTTAATCTGTATAAAAAGAACAAAGACTTATCTATATTTTATGCCAAGTCACATAAATTGGGCGAAGAAAATAGTGGTGATTGGTGAACAATATCTTCTTCGATATCTAATCGAATCCAACAAGCCTACAACTTTGAATTTCTCAACACTAGCATTATTTATATACAGTGCTAGCTGACCAAGATTTGCAACATTACAAATGTGAATAACCAAAAACTTATGGATATTTAAGACATGGTCGAATTTGAACAGCTTCTACAAATATCACATTCACACTTAACATCCTAATTACTTTAATTAATTAAACTAAGCAAAATCCTTCACAGAAAAAGGAATATTGATCAGTACAAAACCAGTACATAAGTGATAATTCAGGACTAATAATTATACCTGATATAATCTCAACCACTCATGATTACAACATGAGATTAACAAACATAAATTGAAATTAAGTAGTTACTAAAGTGAAAGTAACTTAGCTTAGTGCTATAACGATAATTGAACCAACACCTATATTTCCATCGATATCACTTGACTGTAAGCCTTGATGATTTAATTTAATCCTCATACTAACGAATTCGTCGTCGCGGTTGATCCATAACCATTATTCATCAATCCACTCCAAGTTCCTAGTCCTCCATTCAAGTAACCTTGATCATGCCATTCAAGTGACAAAATCTTTGGATTAGGCTTAACATCCATTGTAATATTTTGTCCCTCATAATTAATTATATTTCCATTCATATTAGGCATCCCAAATGCACTAGAGCAAAACCCTCCATTATAATGTGGTCCAATTCCCGAATTATCCATCTCACCATAACCGTTGATCAGACCAGTACCAACATTAACATTCCCAAGAAAATCTTGATTTCTTGTACTAGTAGTCCCCACAAAAGCTTGATACTTGCTATCCATAAAATCAATAGGTGCATGATGCATGAAATTATGATTCATATTATTATTTTCCATAAAATTACCAAAGTGGGAAAATGACATTTCAGGGTAATTATGAGATGATTCAACATGAGGGGTAATATTGTCATTAGACAACTTTGAATTCTTTGAAGATACTTTTTTGTTCTTCCTACATCCACCACCTACTGGGATATTCCTTAGAGTTCCCCCTTTAGTCCAGTACCTTCTACAAGATTTACAGAAATACCTTGGTTGAGAAAGGCTGTAATTGTTGTAGTAACAAAATTTAGTGTGTGTTGAGTCACAACGAGGGCAATTAATAGGTTTGTCATGTTGGGGTCTTAGTTTTCTTTCCATTAATGGCCTTGAACATGTAAAAATGTCACCACCTGATGGAGATGAAGATGAATCAAACTCATTCTCCTCGGGAATTGTGTCCTGACAATAGAAACAAATAGGTAAAAGTTAGAAAAAAAGGAAGATATTGCTCGGACTCTGAAAAAATGTTAATGTATTTGTATCGGATATTTCAGACTTACTTTACTTTTTGTCTCAAATTAAGTGACATACTTTTCTTTTTTAGTCGCTCCATAAATAAAAAGACATATTTCTATATTTAGTACTAACAATTTAACTATAAAATGCTTATTTAATGTAACCCTTAATAAAATGATTCATAGCCACACGAACATGTATAACTTGTCTTAGACTGTCAAGTTTCAAAAGTCTGTCTACCTTAAATTTCATATTAAGTCAAATAACATCAGATAAATTGAGACGTAGGACTAACTTTAGATGGTTATGGTTAGTCAAAATCAGATTTTAAAGCATCCGAACAAAATGGAAAGAAAAAAGAACTATGTTGTTACGGACTCTCAAAAAATGTTATAGCATTCATATCAGATCCTGCACTATTTTTGAAGGCATGCATCAACATTTTTTTAGGAGATGTACGTTTAGGTCTATTAGAAGGTGCAAAAATAGCTAAAAATGAATGCTAAAATATCTCGTAATGTATTTAACCAGATAATAGATTATGTATACTCCTGCAAAAGTATCTATTCGTAACGAAACTTCAATTGTCAAAATGTGAATGCCATAAAGGAACATGAAAATGTAACAACATTGAATTTAGTAACACACAAACCTGTAGCCAGTTAGATGAATCCATGCAAACTTGCAAAGAAGTAATCCCCATTGCTACACTCTTGATATTAAAAGGAACAAACTTTCAACAATATGTAACTAAAATATTTCAAATACAAAGTTTCTTTGTTACAACTATATATAATATGTGTATATCTGTATATCCAAAAGGGTTAGTGAGAATGAAAAAAAATTGAGCTAAGAACGTGAATATGAAGGAAGAAAAAGGCCTTATGTGGTGGGGACAAAGACAACTTATGTGGGCCTAGCTATTGTCGGCCCACTGTCTGTTGATTGAATAGGGCCCACATTGGGTTAATCTTGACTGTATCATCATCAATAAAGTAGATTTGGACGGCTGTGATTTTGTCAACTTTGGATTTGTGGTTTGGTGGGTTACATCAGACGGTGACAGTTATATTGAGAATATTTGGGTCCTCGATAAAGAGTAAAGGGTAATGGGCCCAAATTGGGCTTCAAAAACCGAAACAACACTCTAAATTGTGGACCCCGGGTTAGAATTGGGGGCCCAATAGACAGTATGGACCCCTTTTCTACTTCGACTCTTACAAGCAAGGCATATATTCTCTCGTATGACGTGTCCGTTCTAATGACCATATATGGTGTTGTTAACGATGTTGAATTAATTGTCCGAGATCATATAAGGAATTAAGGCCGGAATCACAATCCTTTTACTCAACAATGTGATAGCATGTATGATATAACACTTGCTTCATTGTTATAAGTAATGTTGAAATCACGATGATTTAATATGAATTGTGAATTTATCTTCCAAGATAACTAGGTTGAATATAACATGAAGTCATACTATCTGTCTTGATTGTATGCCGCAATTTTGAAATATGTTTCTTATATCTTTTTTGTTTGTATTAATAAAATCATGACCATTCGATATGAATTGTGAATAATCTCATAGGATAGCTTGGTATATAGCATGAAGTCGATCATATCGAGATTTATCATGATTTACCTTATAAAGTTGCTAACAATCACTTTACTAATCCAAAAAAATTACATTAAACTTAAAAAGATCATTTTTACACAAATATCAAAGTTGGGGGATCATTAATATGTAAATAACATCACAAAAGCGAAGTGGGACTTGACAATTACCACCTCCGTCCCAAGCGAATACTCCGTATTAGATAAAAATAAGTAATACGGAGAAGATGACACTATACTTCGACCTCATACAAGTACTACAACATAAGATAGTCTACTACTCCCTCCCTCCGTCCCATTTTATGTGGTATCCTTTGACTTGTCACGGTATTTAAGAAAAAAATAATAAAGACTTTTGAAACTTGTGATGTAAAACAATCCTTAGATATTTGTGTGATTAAATTATTTCATTAAGGGTAAAAGATGTATTTTAAAGAATTTCTTTCTAATTATAGTAAAGCGACATTCTTTTTGGGGTGAACTAAAAAGAAAAGAGCATACAATGGGACGGAGGCAATATATTTTTATGCTAATTCTTGACCTTCAATTCTTTCTATCTCTCAAGTAAATAATGTGTCTTATCATGTTTGATCACATCTCTCCAATTTTTATTTGACCTATCTCTACCTTTATTAGAACCTGCTATAGTCACATTCTCACACCTCCTTACTACTGCTTCTGTGCACCTCCTCTTTACATGTTCAAATCATCTCGATATTACTTTCCTCATATTTTTCTCATTTTATCTCGTATAACTTCATTTTTTAATCTGGTCTCTCCTGATATATATGCTCGCACACCCCTCGTTATACTCGATAATCCAAATGATCCACACATGAAATTTAGCGCGCGGCTAGAAAGAATGTAATTACTAGTGTTTTCAAAAAACAAATGGAAAGTAATATAGTGATAATGATATCATATCATATCCTTTGTGCTTTTCAAAAAGATAAATAAATAAATGGTTCCCTAAGCCTTTCATGATTTTAGAACCCTAAAATTGGTATAGGAAAGTGACTTGAAAAGCTATAGCAATAATTAGTTCATCTTTTCCAATTAATCTTATACTATTACCCAAGCTTGAAAAAAAAAGAAATTTCCCATGTTACTTTCTTTAGCCAAATGACAAAAAGAGAGAACAATCATCTTTCTCAACTTGAAAAAAAGATATCTTCATCACATGTTATTAGGACCAATTTCATCATTACTTTGTCCCTTTTTTTTTTCTTTGTAAATAAAAAAGAGAAAATTCACAACTTTTACGATCAAATTTGTGTTTGAAAATCGAGGAGGGAAAAAAAAAGCAAAAGAAAATCAAGCATCGATCGTAAAATCCGCTAAAGTTTTAATAAGAAGAGGACCATAGTAAAAAAAGAAACAAAATACTAAAAGTTTTTGCTATCTTTTAAATAACGTGTGAGATACTCCTAGAATATATTTAACAAAAGTTGAAAGTACAAATCACATGATCATCATGAAGATGCTCAAAACAAAAATAGTAACTCCTCCCTCTGATAACTTGAAAAAATCTATGTGAAATTTGTGTTCATATGATTATAAATCACTTGTAAGAGTAAAATGAATATTTTAAAGTTAAATTGTTACTCCTTCTGTTTCATGTGACACTTTTCGTTTTTCGAGAGTCAAACAGTTTAAGTTTGATCGAAAATTTACACATAGAATCTTCAATTTTTTTGAAATGAAATTTCTATATTTGTAAACTACGTAAAAAGTACTATAAGTCACAATAATTGAAAATTCAAAACTTACGGTCAACGATAAACTTGTTTGAATCTTAAAATCCGAAAAGTGTCATTCTTTGACTAAAAAAAAGTAAATCATATAAATTGTGACTGAGCTAGGGATTATATGTTTTAATATATGTATTTCGAGATTTTATTATTATATAAATAAAGTTAAATATATATTTTAGATTTCAAACTCTCATATGAGAACCCATAACAAGTAAAATCTCAAATTCAATTTAATCAAAATGTCGCAGATGGCATTGAATAAGGCTTCCAAGAAGTGTAAATATTCTTTATTTCTTTTTAAATTAGGAAGAATACTTTTTGGTGTCCTCAATATTCATTAATTAGTTTCTTTACAACAAATTAATTAAGTAATTTGATTGGAAAATAGCCAAACCTTTTCTTGAATTAATATTTGGAAGTGCAAGTATATTACATGAATCTTGATTCTTGATGCTTCTTATTCCCTTGACAACAGTAATATAATTTACCTTAAAATTACGATAAGGAGTTTACCAATATAATTAGTAGGGAAAAAAGTTTGAAATATTTCTGAACTTTGATCGAAATTGTTGTAGCAATCCCAAACATTAGGCAGGACCTATTACCTCTTGCACTATTTAATAGTGTATTTTAAAGATATATAAGTGTCTAGCTGGACATGTTACTATTTATAATGATACAATATTTTATGATGTCCACGTGAACACCTATATATCTTTAAAATACACTATTAATTAAATAGTACAGAGAGTAAGAAATCCTGCCCAAAGTTCGAGATTGTTACAACAATTTCGGTCAAAGTTCGAATATATTTCGAACTCTTTTCCCAGTATATTACTGATAATCTTGATATTCAAGCTTTATATCCCAAGAACATATACTTAATGAAATACGTAATTTTTTTAAAAAAAATAACGAATGAGATTTGAATAAATCCTTTACGTCCCTTAACCCCGCGGCTTGTGGCTGTGTACTACTAATCCTTTCATAGTGTCATGCATAGCTTATGAGTTGATTCCTAGGACGGTCATTCAACTAATTGAAATAGTAATAAATTAAGCTAATAACTATTTCATATTAATTGAGTAATCATCTGAAAAATCAACATCATAACGTACTTTCATTTTTAACCTGAAGCAGGGGCGGAGCCAGCTTTCTTTTAGGGGGTTCATCTGAACCCCTTTGGCGAAAAACATTTCTCTTTATACATGGTTAAAATTATTTTTTATGTATTTATAGTAAATGTTAAACCCCCTTCGGTTAGTCCGTGTGTTTAGTTCTTCAAATTTTGAACACTTTTATTAAAATTCCTAGATCCGCCACTGACCTGAAGTACCCTCCAAATATATATATATATATATCTATATATATGTCTCAAAAGTTGTAGATATAATATATAGATGTGGTGAAACTTTAAAATGAAATGATTTTATCTGCCTTTCTTCTCATGCAAGATTGTCGTTGCATGGTATGCAACATAATATAAAGAGAATGAAAGAAAAAGTAAGAGAATATATATATTATCAGCAGCTTGCATTGTGTGCATGGAAAATATGCTGGACCATATTTATTATAATAAATGCATGCATGTGAAATAATTTTATCATTAATACTACTACCACTACGTGTAATATATGTTTGATATCTTTAAAATTTGAACTTGTGTGTTGGCTCGTCGAATCTATAAAAAGAATGGACCTGGTTTTATTTGGGACCATATTATATTCCTTTTGCCAACAAAAGTTTAATTATTTTATTCTTATATATTCCACGAATATTTTGATACAGATCAGGTTTTTTTTTACAAAATATGCATTTTAATTTTATCGACAGTGCTTTGTTTAAGAAAGAGATTATATTTGAAAGACTCTTGAGTACGTACTTGTGAGTTGTGATTTTAAACAAACTCATTAGAGATGGAACAATATCATTTTTTTTTGGATAAATTATAAATAAATATACATATAAATTGGGATAGAGAGGATAAAAAAAACACATCACATAAATTAAAATTAAAAAAATATCAAAATACTGATAAATTTAACCATATGACAAAATTATAAAGTAAGAATATATACATTTAATCATATTATTAAGTGATTATTGAGAGTACTAAAGACACTTTGGATTGAAATTAGTAATACTTTTATCAATATAACTTAACATGTCTTATAAAAATCGGTTTGCATAATTATTTGTCAGATTATTACTAAAACAGAAAACAACAACCTCCTAAATTCTTTTTTTCGTTCTTTTTTTGCGACAAAGTGACTTTGATTTATGGACTAAGGGTCTAGTATGAATTGGACAATAATATTAACCAAAGTAACATAAAATCAAATCATCCACTGTTATAGCACTGAATTTTATATGTTTGTGTCCAATTTTTTTGAATTTTTTGTTTTTATGAATTCAAATTAAATACAAGTTATTGAGTTCTGAATAAAT